AATATGCTGAAAAAATTGGATTCTAAGAGAAGATAATAATGAAGTTGTTTTGGATTCTTTGTTTGATTTTTATTTATTTTTGAATGAAAATAAAGAAAGAAAAACAAAAAGATGATAAAAAAGTGTATTTAATACAATTATTAGTAATATTAATTGAATGATTTAGAATGTAATAGTTTCATGATGATATTATTGGCTGTGCGATTTGAATAACTACTACTGAGATATTATCAGGACTATTCTTTTCATAAGCAATATTTCTAATATTAACTGCTTGTTGTTCTAAATCAAATGTAGGATTTGTTAATTCATTCAATAACTTACATCTAAAAGTAAATAATTATTCTTTTGATTAAATAAAAAACAAACGGTATTGATGATATTCCATCAGAAGCGACTATAATTGAATCTATTTCATTTAATGGAATTGAGATTATTGTTGGTTCATTTGTTAATGGAGGATGAAGTGATTTATCACCAAGTGAACGAGTAAGTACAATCTTAGAATTTACTCTTTTTGTTCCATTTATGTCTACAACACTCCCACCACAATTAAGAATTCTTTTTACTTCTTCTTCATTACTTGTATTATGGTCAATAGATATTTTCTTTACTTGTTCATTTGATTTTATATAAATCGGTGAATCTCCAATATAACAAAATATAACATCATCTTCTCTTATAATAATTACTGATGCAGTTGTTCCTGATGCAGTTGTAAATGATATTAATTGTTGTATTTCATTACATATATGATTTAAGTGTTCCAGATAATGATCTGATTTAATTAAATATTCATCTAATAATTTATGAAAAGTTTCCATTGCTTTCTTGGCTGCATCTTTTCCATTATGACCATCAAACACACCAATATAATCAATTCCATCAAACAATTCACCTTTAATCATAACCATATCTTCCATATATATTCTTCTACCAATGGTTTGTGATACGTTAATGTTAAATCTTTTAGAAGATGTATATGTTTGCTTCTAACATAAACGTTAGTTGTTCTCTCTTGAATATAATTATGAATAATATAAAAATGTAATTAATTCATAACAAACACATAATAATTGGTCTTCTTCATTTTCCTCAAATGACTGTCCTGTTTTAAGTCGTTTAATTTCTCCATTTTTTGAAACTAAATATGAAGAAGATAACAATGGAAGTGTCAATCCTCCAGATATCAACACTTTTCCATTAATTATAACTGGTCGTTCTTCTCCATAAAATGTACTTTTTCCTGTTGCCCCAATTGATCTAACTCTTTTGTGAGGAATTTTCGTTTTTGGTAATTCAGGTGAAGAGGAAGAAAGACGTGTTATGGCACTCATTTTATTTTAATAAATAAAGTTTTTTTATATTTTTTTAAAAAAACTTTTTTTTCACCTTTTTTGCATTTCATTTGAAAACATCATATGTATTTTTAGAATTAATATTTATAGAAAACCTTTTTTTTGGTTTTATTTTTGTTATATAGTCAATGTTTCAAAAGTGACGCTGTAGACAAATTCTATATTTTATAATAACTTAATTTAATTTATTTATGAGTTAATAAAATGGTTTATGTTAATATTTTGCCATTACGAAATATAATTTTAGTTGAGGGTAGTTAAAAACAAAATAAATTAAACAATAATTATATATATATATTTTATGAAGTAGTATAAATTTAAGATGGTTGTGGCTTAATTTAATACACAAAACTAGGTAAATCTTTCATTATTATATTTAAATATGTCAAATTTTTAGTGTTTAAATTGAACTGAAACAAGTTAAAAAATAATTTTCTTTGTTTTTGTATAAATTAGTATCTAAGAGAAAGTATTAATCCATTTAATTGTGACATTAATAAATTTATAATTTGTTTGATATAATAAAAACTATAATTAACTTCTTTTTTTCAACACAGAATGAAAAATTGTTTACATCCATTTTTATTCATAGTATTATTTAAAAAATAGTAAAATAATAAAATTGTTTTTATGACTAAATGTAATTTGTATTAATAAAGTGATATTTTATCTTGTTTTATGGTTAAAATGAATGATTCAGAGTAGTGTAGTATATACGTTAAATATTATTGATTAATACAGTAGTATCATCTTTATTTAATTATTTCAAATATGGTTGACAAAATCAAATAGAAATCAAATTGAAAATAATCAATTCAAATAAAAGAACTATAGCTAAATTAAAAGCAATTAATTAAGTATTAATA